ATGTATTTATAATAATGGATTCTTTTCACAGAAGCCTGTTAACAGCCCATTTGCTGTCTACCAACAAATGTTAACAAGAGGGCTTTATTTGAAAGAATGTAAATAAGAGACTTAAAGTTATTATTTGAGTTGTCTATAAAATTCTGTGCATCACATATAGAATCTTACTTTACAGAGCTACAACTCAGAATGAGAAAACTGGCCCCTTTAAAATAAGTAATTCAGTCATTTTAAGACCATTCACGGTTAAGTTTTCATTTTTGAGAAAAAATTGTTTTTTAAAGATTTATTTGTGCATACAGAACTGGGGTACAGGCCAGAGGCTCAGGGGCAGCGAGAGGTTTCACCAGAGACAGAGTGGGGAGCAGAACAGGAAGGTCACGAAGTACACTGCTGAGGGGAGCAGCGGGCGGGTCAGGAGAGGTCTGCCACGCCATGTGGGTTACCTCCAGGGAAGGCGGGAATCGAACTCATATGGAAGTGGCTTTAGCTTCTCAGTGCTGTGCTTTAACTCATTGCGCCACCAGGGAAGGCCCATTTTTGAGAAAATTTTATTGAGGTTCTCACTTCTCAGGCCTTTACCCTTTTCCTTTCCTTTAGTGCTGAGAGGTACTAGCACAATGGTCAAGAGGGTTGATTTCAAGCTTGGACTCAAGAATAATTTGACCCTCTAAATAGCTATATGTGCCCTGAGCTTTCATTTTCTCAAATGCAAAATAAGGATAGTTGTAATGTTCTAAAATGTGTGAAATGTTTAGAAGTTAACCTGATTCTAATTAATACTATTGTGACAAACAATCCTTTAAGTATACAAAAAAGGCAATAAAAGCAAATATGGGGTGGTTGGGAAAGACACACACATCCTTTCTTTTAAGGATGGGATCCAAACTCCTCAAAGTTCAAAAATGTCTCTCTTATGATCTGGCCCCTGCCATGTTTCTAGCCTCATCTGTAATCCTCCCTAAGATCCATGCTACACTCAGTAACGCAGACCTGCTTATGTTTACTTATGCATACTATACACTTTATTTCCATGTCTCTGCTCCTACTATTTTTGGAATGTCTCCTACCACAGTTCTTTATCAATAGTTTACTCATTCTGACCTTTAAGTTGTTCAGTGGTTACCTATTTTAAGAAGACTTTAACAGATGTGGTGCCAACTTCTAATTGATCCTTTCTATCACTGGTATGGAAATCACAACTATTAAGTTATCCTTTTCTCTGGATTCTCCATATCTCTACACTTACTAATTCCAACTTATAGGAGTCTTCTCTCTCCTACACTGAGATGCTATTTTTTAATCACAGCTTTACTGAGACAAAAGTGATATGCAAAAGTTTAAGATCTTTAACGTATACATCATGGTGATTGAATAAAAGTATACACTGGAAAGGGTTTCCCCAACTACATAACACATCCATCATTCAACATATGTCATTTATTTTGTTTGGTGGGAACATTTAATTCTCCTACCTTAGCAAGTTTATCTTAGCAAATTTCAGTTATATAATTCAGTGTCCTCAGCTATAATCTTGCTTTACATTCCTCAGACCTTATTGATGTTATAGCTGAAAGTTTAAACCCTATTACAGCCTCTCCAGCTTAGAACTATGAGGACTTTGAGAGAAGGTTGTGTTATTGACTCCAAGGGAGTAGCACTCTGGATAAAAACACAAAGTTGCTTAATTCGCACTTCCTGAAAGGATAGCATACATCAGTCATTCTCAAAATTTTGGGGCTTAAAATCCATTTACACTGGTAAAAATGATTGAAGATAGAACATCACTTCTGTTTATGTGAGTTTCATCTATCTACCATAAAGAAATTGAGAAATCTGTGAAATATGTATTAATTCAAGAAAATAAGAGGTAACTCAACATTATTATGAAAACAGCTGTGACTTCAAGGACTCTCTTAAAGGGTTCCAGGGACACTTCAAGGGCACAACATAGTGGTATAAGTGGGGTTTTTGTCTGCTTCTTATAAAATGATTTCCCTTTATATGTAAGTTAAAGTATTTGGGGAGGGCAATGGGCAAATGAAAAGACCTAAGAAAGAAGGGAAAGGCTCTCCCTGGTAGCAAAACGCATTAGGACACAGCACTGCAAGCTAGCCACTTCAGTTCAAGTTTGATCCCTGGCCTTGGAGGTGATCCACATGGCGTGGCAGGCCTCTCCTGACCCTCTGGCTGCTTCCCTCAGCAGTGTACTTCATCTGCCTATTCTGCTCCCCACTCTGTCCCTGGTGAATCCTCTCACTGGCCCAGCACCTCTGGCCTGCACCCAGTTCTGTGTGCATAAATAAATAAGTCTTTGTTTTTAATTTAAAAAATTAAAATAAAAGTTAAAATTAAAATTAATTTTTAAAAAAAGGAGGGAGAAACAATCTTTGTCATAGCTACAGAAAATTGCTGAGAATCGGAGGCAAGGAAAGGAATGATGGTAATGAAGTTCCAATAGCTCTATTCTTAGAGAAAACTTAATTGTAACAAAATGAAAAGAATGACAGTGAAGGCCAAAAGTCTGACCAACATCTTAAATATTTACGTATAAAATGTAAGATTTGATAATTTTATTCTACCCACTCCCATCATCTGTCATTCTTAACTCACACAAGTTTTTTTTCACACACTTTGCCCTCTGCTCCTCTGGAATGCTATTCTCAGTTTGCCATCTTTGGCTCAAAATACTGCTCAGATATTATGTGATTAGAGAAGGAAAAAAAAAAGCAGCAATGGCTCTGATGAAACTGCATGACTGGAATCCAACTGATTAATTTTTTAACATTCTATTAGATTATAAAAAATGATAATGAGATTTTAAAAATAGGAATGCTGTAGTTATTTTTACATGCTGAAAAATTAAGTGTCCTTAAAATATGCTGCATGAAGGCTAGGACCGGAAAGTAATATGATCTTGGTTATAGTGCTAAGGTGGCAAATGGTTTTGAATTATTTCTTTAATGTTATATCTTCCTTTCTATGGAACAAAAGCCATGGATATGACAATTACTTCTCAATTTACATGTGTTGTTTCTCTTTCCTCCAAAATTTCAGGCATATACAACTGGCTGAATTTTACTTAGTCATATTGCTGAAGTCTAAAACTCAAGACCTAGATTAGAGGTAGACAGGCCTAGCAAAAAATAAGCCTGCAGGGCCCTCCCTGGTGGCGCAGAGGGTTAAAGCACAGCACTAAGGAGCTTAAGCTATGTCTGCCTGAGTTCATCCCCGCCTGCCCCCGAGGAGATCCACATGGCGTGGAGATCCACATGGCGTGGCAGACCTCTCCTCACCCGCCCGTTGCTCCCCTCAGCAGTGTACTTCGTGGATCTGCCTGTTCTGATCCCCACTCTGTCCCTGAATCCTCTCACCCTCCACATCTCTGGCCTGTACTGTATGAATAAATTAAAAAAAAAAATTTAAAAAAAAATCAGCCTGCAAACTGTTTTGTATAGGCCTCAGGCTAAGAAGAATTTTTATAATTTTTTTAGATTGATTTATTTATGCATACAGAACTGGGGTACAAGCCAGAAGTGCAGCGAGAGTGGGAGGATTCACCAGAGACAGAGTGGTGAGAAGAACAGGCAGGTCAACAAAGTACACTGCTGAGGGGAGCAGTGGGTGGGTCAGGAGAGGTCTGCTGCACCATGTGGATCACCTCTGGGGCTGTGGATTGAACTCACACTGAAGCACCTGTGGCTAGCTTGCAGTGCTGCACTTTAACCCATTGTGCCACCAGGGAGTACCAGAATTTTTATTATTTTTTAAAGGTTGTAAAAACAAAACCACAGAACAAACAAAAACCAAAGAGTAATATATAAAATGAAGTTGTACATTGTCTACAAAACCAAAAATATTTACTATCAGAACTTTAAAAGTGTAAGTTGCCAGTGCCAGGTATGATGCATTCATCACAAAGTCTGATTCATAAAATATGCCCAATAAATGTTAGCTCCTTTTATTAATTTTGATAGTTATTTTTGTATTTTACTATCTTTAATTATTATGCTTCCTGAAAAATTTTAATTTCCAAAACTTTTGTGAACAAGTCTTGAATTTTTCTGACCACATTACCTATGAAGTACTGCTCTGTTTACTCTTTGCATTATTTTTATCCTGCCTACTTAAAATTTTTTTTGATCTTTCCTTTTACTGTAGTGAAATACATTACAAAAACATTACCATTTTCATCCTTTTAAATTTAAGAACATAGAATCTACCCTCTTAAATATTTACTGTACTGTAGACTAAAGATACAGTGTTGCACAGCACATCTTGAGAATTTATTCACTTGCTTAGTGCAACTTTATGCCCAGTAATCTGTAACTCCCCAATTTGCCTTTCCTCCAGCCCCTGGAACTACCTCTTAACTCTTTTGATTCTAGTAATTTCACTGATAACTTATGTAAGTGGAGTTATGCTGTATATGTCTATCTGTGACTGCTCCATTTCACTTAGCATAATGTCTTCAGAGTTCATACATATTATGTAATGTACATTGCAGAATTTCTTTTTTAATGTCTGAAAAACATCCTATTGTTTGTATTTATCCATTCATCTGTTGATGGGCATTTATTTAGTAGCAGTAGCAATTTACTGGATAACTGTAAGTTCCTTCTTAGTAAGATACAGTCCCCATCTATTCAGGATTTGTACATTCCAGTACATTCCAGGGGTTGGGAGCTAAGGGTGAGGCAGACAGCAAAAGCACGTGAATGTAGGGAATGTACTCTAGCCATTTCTTTTTGGGCTTAAGGGGGCAAAAACCCCAAACCAAACCAAAACAAACCCTTACAATCAATTTACAATCAATAGCCCACTCAAGTGAAAGTGGAATAGAAAAACTTGAACATTCCTATGACACTTATGCATATCTTACTGTTTCACATGTAGGGTTTATTTGGAAAAAAACTAGCTTCCACCAGCAGAATGCGTAAAAGTAAAAACAACTATGAGGGGTAAAGTATTAACAAGTAGCTAATATGGCCTCAGCTGGTCCAGTCAGTAGAAGCAGACTGTGTGCAGGAAGGCCCGTCCGCTCTTCTTCTCCAACTCTAGCAGCAAATCTTCGATCTCGTTCTCCATGTCCTCGCTGTGCCGGATGCACTGGCAGAGTTCAGAGATGAGAAACGCCCCCACAGCGGCCTCCTCGAGGTTGTCCTGGATGTCCACGTTGATCACATGCACTGGCTGGCAGGTCTCCTGTTCTCTGAAATTGAGGTCTTCCACCACCTGGTCATACACTCTCTCCTCACAGGTAAGGATCAGATCGAACAGATCCTTGCAGTTCTGGAACCTTTCTGGTCGAGGCTTGATTCTCTTATTTCGGTCCAACATATGTAATATGCCATTCTGCGTGTAGAGTTCTTTGTCTTTCCTGAGAAGATCGTTGTACATCTGATCGTAGGTAGTTTTGAAATCGTAAATATTTGGTTTGTCAGGCGCTGGTCCTGGAAGCTTCACGTGAGTCCCTGTTCCAAAGGATTGGACGCTGAATCCTTGCTTGCTGAGGATGTAGTGCGCCTCCATACTCTGGTTCTGGTTACTTGAGCACACTACTGCCACCCGCAGCGACGAGGAAGGCATGGTGACTCCACACTGTCGCAGCCACTAGCTCACTAAGGATTCTGACCCAGCGGTGGCACTTCTGAGTGAACAAGATGGCGGCAGAGGCGGCCGGAAGTCATGACTCAGAAGCGGCATGTGCAACGTAGCACGTCAGGACGCACGCACGCAGCAAGCCTATGCAAGTGGCCTCCTGGCGAACCCTGTCCAGGCAGCTAATGCAAATAGGTGGCCAGAGAGCTGCACTGTGGCCTCATGAACCTTTAGATTATTTTCATAGCATAGAGATAGCAATTGGGCTGTAAAACATGCTAACAAGTTTTTGAGAGCCTCACTTCAATTTTGAATAAATTCTCAGAAGTAGGACTACTGAATCATACTGTAGTTCTAATTTTGATTTTTCAAGACACCTCCATACATTTTTCACAGTGGCTATACCATTTTGCATTCCCATCAAGTGCATGGTTTTTCTACATTCTCACCAACACTTGCTCTCTTTTATTGTTTTGGTAACAGACTATTATGTTTTTATTTACATTTCCTGGATGATTTGTGATATTGAACATTTAATTTTTTTAAATATACCTGTTGGCTCTTCTTTGGGAACTATTCAAGTCCTTGACCCATTTTAAATTGGGTTATTAGCATTTTGCTGTTTTTGAGTAATAGGAGTTTCTGATGTATTTGGAGATTATACTCTTATTGGATTTATGGCTTGCAAATATTTTCTACCGTTTCATGCATGCCTTTAAACTCTGCTGGTGTCTCTTTTGTTGTACAGATTTTTTATTTGATGTGGTCCCATCTGTCTCTTTTTGGTTTTAGTGCTTATACTTTTAGTATCATTTCATGAAATCACTGTCAAAACTAATGTCACCAACTTCTCCCCTGCTCACCCCCCTACCCCAAGAATTGCAGATTCTGGTCTTATGTTTAAGTCTTTCATACATTTTGGGATATTTTGTATATGTCATAAAATAAAGACACTGGATTTATTACATAACTTTTCTACACCTGTGTAGACAATCGTGTGATTTGTACTTTGCATTGTGTTACAGCAGTGCATTAGATGTGATTTTTGTATGTTATACCATCCTTGTATCCCACAGAGAAATCCTGGTTGTTTGTGCTGTACAATCCTTTAAATGGTAAGCTAGACTCAATTGGGGATTTTTGCATCTATATTCAGTAAGGACGTAGGCTTGAAACCTGTTTTTTTGTAGTGTCTGTCTCATTTTGGTATCAGGGTAATTTTGGTCTCATAAAATGAGTTTGGAGAGTTCCCCTTCAATTTCTTAAAAATATCTGATAAGGGCCCTCCTTGGTGGCGCGGCTGGTTAAAGCACTGCACTAAGAAGCTGAA